TACACAAAACAGAATAAATGGTGCTGCTTCTACTAAAAATATATCAGCAGTGAGGACTGATGAAAACTCTGTGTGTCAACCAGGTTGGAAGTGGTCAGAGTTTTCATTGGTTCAAATCTTCAGATCACAAAGCATTAAAAATTAGTTTCCCAACCAAGTAACCGCACAGACCTTTCACACAATATTTTTAATGAAAATACGTGATTTAAAAATGAGGTGGCACCAGGGGGTTCTCAAGTCTTTTTGTTGTAGAAAAGAGGTCAGGAACCATCAGATAAAAGATAAACAATGCAGAGGAAATGAAGTGCTGGTTTGATGTGCCAACATTACAATATTTGAATATTAAAAACTAATAAAATGCCCCTGTTTCCCTTTTTAGGGAAGGAATTGCTGTAGATGTCTGCCTTGCCCAGGCCCAGCATGGCACAAGCTGTTCCAAGAAGCTCAGGACAACAATGGAAGGTAAAATTCAGCATTCAGAGAAAACTGATCTGAAAATAAATTGAGGGAAGGCAGGAAAAAAAACAGTGGAAAGAGCAATAGTTGTCCAGATTAGGGAAGCATAATGATCTGCTTTAATTGATTTCTCTAATTTTTATTTATGTAAATTAGGAAACAAACTTGAAACCCTTCCTTAGCTCGTTATTCTCCTTAAGCCAAATGTATTTCACAACTGAACTACAGCAGAATATTGCACTTCAGTAAAGCCTGCAGCAACCATGTAAAAGAGGGAAAACTTGCTGTTAACAACCACAAATTTTGACCATTAGGAGAGAATTAGCAACAGACCCTTAATGAGGAGCATGAGCTGATCACATTTATATTACTGTAACTAAAAATATTTTTGCCCTGAGGAAACATGCTGAGCCTTCAGTGCTGAACTTAAAACAACCTCTAAACCTACATAAATACATGTTTTACAATGTTTGTTCTTCACATCTTACTGAGTTCCTATTTGTTGATCTCTGTTCAGCAGAAAAATGCTTCTTACAAATCCAACAGAAAGAAACAAGTATAGGTTACACTCAGAGTGTAACAGTCTATCAAAAGAATGATGAAGCCAAAATTTAACTTAATTGCTTGCTTAATTTAAAGTCTGCTGTCTCAAAAGAGGAACTTTCATACTGTGGCAGATTGAAAAAGGTTTAAATTATTCCGTTTTTCACATTGCTCTTGCAATGTATTTCCAGGTGCACATCAGAGGAAAGCTTTCAGTGCTACAGACAGCTTGCTGGCCTGCTTGACAATGCAAGAAAACAAAACAAAGCCAAACCTCCCTGGAATAATCCTCCCATCGTGTTTGCCACAGACATGATCAACAGCAAACAGCAAAAGCAAAACAGCAAAATGAGAACTCCCATTTCACAAGCACAAAATATTTAAAATACTTCATGTTTCTATAAATCAACAACAAACCACAAATATCAAACTGCAAAAAGCTTTCTAATAACAGGAATAAAAATGTCATAGAATCCCAGAATCGCTGAGGTTGGAAAACACCTCCCAGACCATCGAGCCCAAGCTGTGACCAACCTCCACCTTGCCACCAGCCCAGAAAACTGAGTCCACATCCAGTTATTCCTGGGACACCTCCAGGGATGGAGACTCCAAACCTGAAGGCATCCCCTTCCAGTACCCGACCACCCTTCCTGTGAAGAAATTCTTCCTGAATCCTGTCCCTAGGAGAACATTAATCCAGCTGAAGTCCTTCAAGCTCATTTTTAAACCCACACGTGGCAAAAACTACATATTTTCCACTGCTACTTTATGATGCCCAACCTCATTCTCTAAAAATCATCTTTCCAACCACGCAACCGAATTCTGCCTCCTCTCCATGAACTCCACGTCCCAGCTCCTGGCTGCAAACCTAAGCAGCCTTTCTGAGCTTCTGTTTGCTGGAATATTCAGCAGCCACGTTAACACACACCCATTAAGGAAGACAAACTACTTAGGATGTGGACTGTCCCTTGCTGAGCATTTGTGTGGTAATAATGCAATTGCGCCTGACCCTCTGCCACATTCTGGGCTTTAAAACCACACCAAAATTTAATTTGCTGTCTTTTGCAAATTCATCAGGATCCCACAAAAATAAGGAGGTGGAAAAAAAATTATCTTGCAAAATGTTTTAGGACAATTAGTTGAAATAATTCACTTCAATACCAAACAGCTCATTTAAATGTCTTTATGTAATGCTGAAGCTGAACACTACAGCAGAAACAGGCATCAAAATACAAAATAAAGTGACAACACACAAGTGAAAACAGGATCTAATGAAGTCAAATCAAAAAAGGTATTAGTGGTCCAAAATCAGGTAATTTCACTATAGCACAGTTAAAATTCTAATAAAATTTATATTAAATCAAAATATTTTGTTTGAGGGCATCTTAAAAATAAAACCAGGACTGGATTTTCTGTGACACTTTTTTAATGGAAGTTTTAAAAATACATAGAAACTTACTACATTTGCTGCAATACTTAAAACTACATAACAACTAAGACCTTTTGTTTAATTAAAGAACTCTAATACAAATATTGATAGAATTGCAGGTTTTTTTAGTAGAAACATCATTTGGGTGTGATGTGTGACTGTTGTGGGCCTTCCTCTTCTCCTTGGTATCAAAGGCCAGAGGAATCTCAAACAACTTTGGAAATAACAAAACCTCCAGCTCTGAATTCTGCCTGAGATCAAGTTTGTGTCTAGTGGCAGATTTTACAACACTCTTGAAAACAGAGGAGAAAAGGCTTTTTATAATGGAAACACTGAAGGACCAAGAACTGCAGTCATGCTAAGAGCTGTCACTGCAATATTCTTTACTTCATGTCATATGAAAATTCCATTTTATTCTCCATTTTTCATTCTTCTCTGTAAAGACGGTCACTTCATTACAGAAATTAGGGATTTTTTTTCTGCAGCCTACCTTCTAGTTTCAGATTTTTGGTTTTAATTCCTCATGTTCTCAGTAATTTTGACCACAAATTTGCCTTTCCAGCTTTAGCTGGTGACTTTTTAGATGGAAGCTTCAGAAAGCTGAAGTGAAAAACCATTGATTCAGTGGCTTAACTTTATCATGGAAGCTTTATTTTTCAAGAGTATTGTCCCAGAGTACGAACTCTTTGATTTTGAACACAAGTTTAATGAATGTTAAAAACCCTTTACTTAAACTTAATGGTGCACAAACAACAGCTTGCTACAAACCATGTAAAATCAGAATATTGCTCAGAGATTTTGACCAAGAACACAGACAAACCCACTGGATACAACAGTCTCCAAAGAGAAGGTGTAGATTCTCGCTCTGATACAGACAAAAGTCAAGTTTGAACATACTTAGATTCCTAAAAAGTATCACTTCTGAGGCATTTAAAAATGCTGCTCAGAGCTGCTCTAATGCTTTTACTCTTGGTTGTGGTCATGGATGGCATCTGCAGAGGAAACGAGGCTGAATCCAGAACTCCAGCTGGCTTTGTACAGATCAGTCCTCAGCTGCAGAGCTGTTCCTGGCTCACCAGAACTACCATGGTGGAAGGAATTCCATCCCCTGGAGATGAGCTGCCACGCCAGGGTGGATCTGTGGCTCAGGGCAGGGGATCCTGCCCAGTGTGAGCCAGGAGAAAATCAGCACCCTGCAAGCTGCAAAGGCTAAGCTGGATAACTGCACCATTTAAATGCAGCCCCAATTATTTTCTGTGTATCAACAGAAATCTGTAATGAACCTCTAAATAATTCCTGAACTAGGAACCACTGAGCTGTCCTGAATGGGACTGGGAAATGTCATTCCATTACCACTAAGCACTGCACACTCATCTACAGCACTGTTTCGGATGTGATGGGTGGTAAAAACCTGGAGGATATCTACAAAACGTAATATTAGTGTTTTGGGGCACAGAGAAGAAAATCATGGATGTCTGCTTACCTCCATCAGGAAATGCTGTGTGTATCAGCAAGGCTCAGCTTGCAGAAAGAAAACTTATTTATCGTGAATCTTTAAAAGGCATCAGTCTTTGACATCCACTTTCTCAGAGGTTTAATTTCAAGAAGCATCAGCTCATATCAACTTTCATGAAAATACCACAGAATCCATCATTTCCCTAACTGCTAAGCAAAAGCAGCGTTTGGGAGAGTCAAATGTGCTCTAAGGCAAGAGCAAATACCCATCAGAAATGCCAGGAAAGAAAGAAGGAAAAGGCCAACTAATGAGTACACAACATGCAGCTGCAGCAGAAGTGACGGGGAGAAGGTGGGGAAGTGAGAGGGACAACAAAAATGCTCATCCTAATTAAGCAAACATATGACAAAACAAAAAACCTGCACTAGTTGGGTGTGGTTATTTCATGATTAAATGCTAAATAATGAGAAGTATTTGGCAGAAATGCAGGCTGTGTGAGAATACAGAATTTACAGTTATACTACAGCAGCTTTCAGTTTCTCAAGGTTAGAAGGTTTATTAAATCAGTGATTTTATACAGGTGGATTTTTCTTTTTTTGTAATTCAGTATTACATAAGACAGAATTGTCTTGTCCTAATACAGAGTTAAAGCCAAAGGTCCCCCTGGACATGCATTGTATGAAAATGAAAACCAGGGACTTTGGGTTATGAAAAGAAGCCATATGACTAAAAAGTGAATCCATTTTCCAAAACGCCCACACAGACAAGAGCTTCTGATGAGAAAAATGATCTCTGCAAAGCTAAATTGCACAGATTATTTCCATGAAAAGTTAGAATCATACAGATTATATGATATTTACTGTGCTGGGATTAAAAAAATAATCCACCAACTTTTTATATTATTACAGTATAAATAATTACTTGGTTGTTCAATGTAAATTATGTAAATATCAATAATTCTTTTATTGAACCATTATCTTCTTTTAGAATTCACACAGGCAATGATGCTTGTTTAGATTTTCCAGGATTGTTTCTCTTTTGCTGCTGGCAAGTTTTGGGTACCTTTAAAGTGAGGTGCAAGCACCTGTGTGTGCCAGCAAAGCAGGTGTGGCTTACCTTGGCACTGGAATCCTTGCTTCCCAAATCCCCTGCATAAAGAAGGAAAAAAAACTGCCTTAGTATATTTGATTTTAATTTCTACTCAATGATCTCTAAAAACATAAAAATAGCTTCATATTAAATTACTTCAGGTTTTGCTACGACAGCAACAGATTTTCAAATACACAACACAGACCATCCCACCCATTTCAAAGCAGAGAACAATAGCTGTCACCAGCTATGTAATTTCAGCTTCTGGCAACAGTTTTTTTATTATTATTATTTTACAAGCTATTTTGGATCTACAATTATCATCATCTGTGATTGCTGCATAATATTTCAACTCATTTAATGCCACATGTATACTTAACAGCCATGTAAAATGGTCCAAGTTCCAGCAAAGGCACATAAAACAAACTGGACTTGGGGTTTCATCCAGATTTTGGGATTACAAGCTGCTGTTGTGAGGCTCAGCTCGAGTCCAGCTGTTTGCTCTATGGAAAGCAGGCAGGTGAAAAGTTTTGCTTGTTTCAACATAAATGAGAAGACAATGAGAAGGCCCCTGATTTTCATATTGATTATTCTCCAGCTTCCCTGCTCCATTTCCATAACGAAATACAAATGTGTGTGTAACACTTCTGCAATGAATACAATGACAGTGGTATCCAGAGCTCCAACACATTTTATACCTCTGGCAAACTCCACTGCTGTGGATTTATTTGTTTATCTTTAAGCATCTAACATTCTCTTCCCACAAAAATAACTGTTTTGAGTATCCTGCCTATAAACATTTCTCTGCCTTTCTTTGCAGCCTGTTTTTCATTTGGAGAGCTGGAGCTGCTCACACTCAAACACAAACAGACAAAAGCCCTGAGCTGGAGAAGCTGTGTGCAATTAACAACACGCGGCTTAATTATCAACTTCATGAAACGCTTTCTTAAAAAAATACATACATCAAAAATTTCTCCACTTTTTAATTTATTTATTTATGGAAGAAACAAAACCTTCAGTGCACTGTTCCTTCAGGTGGAAGCTGAAATGACAGAGCTTAGAGCATTTCTCTACATTTCTCTGCAGACGTTGCTACTTCTTGTTATTATAAGCAAACCAGAACTACAAAAAACAGGAGAAAAATCAAATTATTTGTTTACTCGGCAGCACATGTGCCTATATGGTCATTCTGATGCTGTTACCACTCATCTTCACAAAACTCAAAAGCTGGAAGTGTGGAAATGCAAACACATGAAAGCTGATGGCGGGACTCAGAACATGAAATAGACGAGATAATTTTTAATGCTTTGAAATAGACTTATTTGTAAATATTCCTTTTTTATCTACTGCAGAAACACGGGTGTTCCTCAGTGTCTGAGCTGAATCCCTGCAGAGCTGCAGCCCATTCTGCTCCCTGAGCAGTTGCAATGTGATTTTTAAGTAAAAAGTCTTTTAAAAAATATCAACAGTCCAGAACCAAAGCAAAGATGTGAAAGTTGCTGGACAGGGTAAAGAGGCACTAAACTATTTTGGTAAATATTACCTGATGAAACGTAATCTAAGGAAAAGAATCTGTTGATGTAGTCCATGGAAAGGTTGTATTTACTGTTCTTTATACCTTCAAACATTGTTAATTGACACCAGTCATTTTGGAAACACTTTCAATGGTGCATGATGGTTGTTTGAGAGCGGCCCATCTCCAAATCAGAAAATATAACAAGTTTTCGAGGTGTCAGATACTCTTCCAAGGAATGCCAAGAGCTTCCCGAGGCTCAGTAAACACCACAAGACAAGAGCACAGTCGCTCTTTGCCACCTGTCAGCCACTGGATACCCTTTCAATTCCAAATCCACCCTGTCATTCGTGACAGAGCTCTGCTTTGTTTTATAATTGTGCTGCTCCTGTGCACAAACACCGCTCGGCAATAACCCTGCAGTGGTTTTTCACACCTCCCAACTCATCCTGGTTTAGATTAACTTTGAAGCAGTTTCTGTAGGTCTCTCACTTTTACCATATGCAATTCTGCTTTTTTTTCTCAAAAAAAAACCCGAAAAAAACAAAAACAAAACAACCAACCAAAAAAAAAAAAACAAACCCAAAATACCCCCAAGAACCTAACAAAAAAAAAAGAAAATCAAAAGAAAAACTCAGAAATTTGACTTGTTTCTCGTGCAGTCTACCGTGTCAGCTTTCCTTCCTTACTCTGAATATATTTCAATCATTTCTGTCACAAGCACAGTCTTTGCTTCAGCATGCAAGCAGAGGAAAACTGAGGGAGGAAGGAAAAGGTCCATGTCCAGACACATAAACACACATAAAAAGAGCAAGAAGCGTGCCACGGACACCGAGCCAGCTGCGTGCGGACCCTTTCACAACTTTGACCAAAATAAATCACAGCTCTGGCTTTCGGCACCCAGAGCTGGAGCAGGTCTGGAGGAGGCGAAGGAGGGGGATCCCGAGCTGTCTGTGCTGCCCTGCAGGTGCAGGAGCCCCGAGGCTCGCACGGCTCCTGCCGAGCCCGGCCCGGGGCCGCCTCTCCCCTCACGGGGCGCGGATCGGCCCGGCCTGCGCGGCGCTGCCGCCCTGCCCTGCCCCGCCACCGACCCACGGCTGGATTTCCCCCTGCCAGCTTAGTAATGAGGGTGTTGGTAGGGAGTTTTCCTGCTCTCTCGCGCAGGAACCCTTCTCTCACAAAAACCACCCCTCCCTCCCCTCGGCGTGGAGCGGAGCGGCGGTGCCACGGTGCCTGCCCGGCCTCGGCACGGGGAGGGAGCAGGGCAGGCACAGGGCAGGAGTTGAGGCTGGGTGACCCAAGTTCTGCCACCCAGCAACGCCCCGCTCTGACACGGGCACCCTCCGTCCCAGCGCGGCTGTGCCCGCCTGAGCCCCCCAGCCCCGCCGAGCACAACCCGGGGACGAGGGGTGAGGAACACGGCTCTGGGCCATGTGGGGAGCGATGGCCCCAGCGCTGGACTGCAGACCCTGCCGGTCTCTGCGACCCCCCGGCAAGTTTGGGGGCTCTCCCCGCCCCGAAAGCCGCCGAGCACCGGCAGCCGCACACAGCCCGCCGGGAGGGGGATGCGACAGCGCCGGGACAGCGAGGTGACCCGGGGGGGTCACACCAGCGGGGTCACCTGCCCGGCCCCGGAGAGAGCGGCGGCACCGGCACCCGGCCGCCCGGGGAAGGGAAGGCAGGGCAGGGACGGCGGCTCACCGGAGCCGGGGCTGCCCGAGGCGGGGAATCCCCCGCGGCGGAGCGGGCCCGGGCGGCGGCGGGCGCGGGGGGGACGCGCGCCCCGGGCTCTCACCAGATGAAGTCGGTGCAGTGGCTGCAGAAGGTGGGCTGCTTGAAGAAGCGCGCGATGAATTTGTGCTCCTTCACCTCGTGCACGTTCTTCTGCCTCAGGGCGCCCTTGCGAGCGAATCGCCGCGCCGCCTCCGGGTCGGCGCCGGGCTCGGAGCCCGGGAACACGTCGGCCATAGCGCCTCCTCCCCACCCCCCGCCGCTCCGGGAGTCGCCGCCCCGACGTCCGCCCCGTCCGGCGGCCGCCGAGCCTCTGGAAACGGCGGCGCTGGGCGCTGCCTCCCGCTCCCAGCCTGACGTCGGAGCGGAGGAGGATCCCGAACCCTCTCGCCGGCTGCTCCGCCCGCGGCTGAGCGAGCGAGCGAGCCCCCGGCCGGGGCGGGGCGGGCGCGGGGCCGCCCCCGCCGGGGAGCGCCGGGGGAGAACGGGGGGGCGGCAGCACCTGCTGGTCCTCGTCAGCTCCGGCACCGCGCACCGGGCTCACACACACACAGAGACACCGGGGCTCGCTCTTACACACACACACAGAGACACACACACACACACCGGGGTTCGCTCTTACACACACACTCACAGACACACTGGGGCTCTCTCTCTCTCATACACACACACACACGCACACCGGCTCTCCCCTCTCACCAGCTTTCCCCCAAGCGCAGGTTCTCCTCTCTCTCTGTCTCACATTTACCTGCACAGGCTCCCCTCACTCTCTCCACACGCGCACGCTCGGAGGTTCCCTTAAAACGCGCACAGAATCTCCCCTCGCACTCTCTCCTTCCCCCACACACTCACAGGCACAGGTTCCCTATTACGCACAGACAGAAGCTCCCCTCGTGCACACACACGGACACAAAGCAGCTCCCCTTTCCCTGTATCTCTCACACACACAGAGGTTCCCCTCACACCCCTGCACACAGACCGGCTCCTCTCACCCCCCCAGCTCCCTCCATGCCCACACAGCCCATTCTCTCTCCCTCACACCTCCCGGGCAGATCACACACACACAGTTTCCCCACTGTCAGCCATGGAAACCCACACCTTCTCTCCCTGGCAGCCCCCTGTCCCCAGCCTGGCAGCAGCAGTGAGATCCATCCATCCATCCATCATCCATCCATCATCCATCCATCCATCCATCCATCCATCCATCCATCCATCCCTCCATCCATCCATCCCTCCCTGCTTCCCCCGCTGCCTCCCTCCCCTGGGTCAGCACAGCCACCCCCGTGTCCCAGAGCCTGCTCCCGGCCCCCCTCGCCACACGCGCTTCCTGCACCCAAATCGCTGTTCCTGCACCACAACAAACAGAGTGCAGCCACACGCTCTGCTCCGAGCACCTTTCCCCTTCCTGCCCCTCTCAAACGCAGCCACAGAGGTGTGAGCGCTGTCAGGGGCACAGGATGCCCTGCCCCACTGTGCTGTGCCATGTATCTTTATGTAGCAATGTAAATATCCCTCAGCATCTCTTATTTCAATACAAATATCCTCACCAAAAAGTGTAGGAAACATTCACCAAGTCTCTTTCGCTAATTAGGGCATTCAGCACATACACAACAGACTTTTACCTTGGTTTTATGTCATCAAGTGTTGCATAAAATAATAGACCTGTTCATTTTCATTTACTCACATTACACACAAAATATTCCCAAGTCCCTGGATACAGAAACATCTGCCCATGGCATCCTCTCATATTAATACACTCAGAAAAATCATGACTATGCTAACGTAAAACCACAATATATACATAAAGAAGCCAAGTATTAATCATATTGTTTTTAATAAATGTTTTTCCCGTGGTTACAAATTTACACATATGGGAAATAAATGCATATTAAAAGTTCTATCCCAGTATATCTATGTGCTCGTCTGTCTCTGTAAGCATGTGTAAGATGTTTTATTTCACAAGAAAGAAAGCCAGCTAATTAACTCAAATTAAGTCTTATCTGCTGATGGGAAAAGTGCACAAGGACACTTATCACAGAACAGAAATAACTTGCTACATGCTATCTTAATTTAAAAGCCTCAGTTTCTGGGTGCAACTTGGCAGAACTGGAATGTCCATGGCATTTCACCAAATAACCAATGACAGGGATGGCCCAGCTTTTCTCTAAACTTAGAGAATCACACCAGATGCCCTAGAAACTGATGCCATATGCCCTTGCTTCATGGATTTTGTTTTGTGAGCAACTACTTCCAAATTTGATCTGAAATCCAATGAAATATAAAGATTTTTAATTTGGCCTCCACCTATTCTGCACATGTTTCAAATTTCTTCTTCCTCTTCAGAGGGAATAGATTTTTTTTGCCTTAATCAACTTATGCCAAAGCATGAGGAGCACCAAGAAACATTTTGTACTCTCATTAAGGGCTCTATCAAGAAATATAAAACGTGTTTATTTCCATTCCTTTTGTGCTGTATCACAAAGCCACCAAAACCAGGGAATCTGAAACGAACACAACTTGGATTACATCAGGTTTGGGGAAATCTGCGTATTTTGTTGTTCCTTAAAATCTCACAGACCTGCTGAATCATTTTGGATTCCAATTTCTTTCCTGCCAGTGACTCTGGACCAGATTCATTCACTGAAACATTGGCGAGTGTGCCAGGCTTGTGTCAGGCCCCAGGGAAGAGCCAAATGGCACCAGTCACGGCACTACAGGATCACATTGGGATTGCTTTACTGTCTCCTCTAACACATCTATTTCATCTCAAACCTAGCAATTATTTGTACATTGTGACTAGACACACTAGGCAAAGGAATTCTCTATTATGTGTGACCAGACAACCAGGCAAACCCTTATAACACGTCCTTGCCCTACTGTATTTAACACATAACTCCTTTTACTGCTGCAGTTTGGATACACAGCACTTACACAGAGCTTTTATTATATTTATCTTCAATATCAGGCTTTGTCATCATGACCAGGCCACTCTCAAAGTGATACTATAGGGGCATGGTATGTTTCACTCCCAGACACCTTTGGGATGTGTTGCTGTGACATCAGCTCCTCTTGCTGGGAGGTTTTTAATTGCCTGGACACTCATTTTTCCTACTCTGCACTCATGTTCTGTGGGTGATACAGGAACTCATCCCTCCTTTGCAAATAACTGGAGGAAAGACGTCTGCCACCTCTTCCTGAATGAGCACATTCCCCCAGCAGCTCATGACTTGCACTTCTGCCCAGGGGAGTGTTTGCAATTTGCTTCTGGTTCAGGCCATCTGGACAAGGAGTCAGCATTTTCCCTGTTTGTGTTCAGGCATATAAATGGTCATTAAATCAGAGCACAGCTTTTCCAATCTCCTGGCCAGCATCTTCAGAGCTCCTGACTCCAAAGCACCATTTGTGGGGTCTTCTCATAGCAAATGTACTCCTGTATGACTGTTTGGATAATATCCTACAGACTGTCCCTGACAGAAGTTCCCATTGGATGATTTATCAGGTTTTTTCTTCTAAAGAATTTGATTATTGCTGTAACAAGCACAACTTCTGAAGTTCCTTCTGTATTTTCATCGATACCACCCTAGGTCTCGGAGTGCACCTGGGTTCATTTTGACAGAGGTTTCTCCTGAAATGTCTTTGCTTGTACTCATCTTCTGGAACAGCAATCCACCGTCTGCATCACTTTTTAATCAAAAAGCAATAAAAAAGGAAGCATGCATTCAGGCTCTTTTCTGCCCCAGATCCATTCAAAGAGAGCCAGGGAGAACACCTTCATCAACTCTTTTGGCAACTGTGACTGTTTTATTATTTCCTGCTTCTGAGAAATACCCAACAAACAGGAATCACTTCCTGCTGGAGGCCTATAAGGAAGTTCACAAGCCAATTCCTCCTCACATTTCAAAGCAAATCACAACCTCTTCCCTCTCCAGAGAGTCAGAAGGACAGGTGTCCATTTTCCGAAGCCCTTTTAGGAAGGATGATCTGATCATTGCGACACTGCTGCCTAAAAATTATTTGCTTCGCTCAATTTCATCTTCCAAAGGAATTTCTACAAAGCCAGCACACAAGACATCTCCACCAGCAACTATTGTGGGACAATTACTTGCCATAATTAGGTCAAAAGCAGTTATCAGTTTCCATTAATTCACAGACTTCATACTATAAATCGAGGAGCCAGGTTTTCCTAACTTATTTTTTCCATGCAATGTCAACTTCGTTTCTCTCTTTGTCTGAAATCACCCATCAAGTTTAATGCTGAAGCTCCCATTCTTAAGTTTGTCATGTTTTGACCAGTCCTGTGTTTTTCCAGATCCTACTACAAATTCATTCACAACAACAAAAAAACCCCTGTTTATTGTTTTTACCCCTGCTTTGGCAACAATATACCTTAAATGTTTCCAAAAAATAGAAAAAGGTAGGCTGTGGTAACATAAATAGACACATTTCTGTAAGAACCTGTCTGCCTTCTGGAAATAATTTTCTCTCAGCACCGGTTTCTGCATCTTTTTTCTGTATCTTTTCTGTGTTTAGAGTTTTCACAACTTTATCCCTGCCTCTGCAGTCACACTGGTCCTCCTCTCTGCCCCTTTCCCCTCAAGGTTCCTCAGAGTGCAGGTTGGGAAGCCCTGGGTCATGAGACAGGTTTTATTATTAAATTATTCCATGTGACAGACAGCTTGTTTACTCAGGCCAGTACTGCATTAAAACAAAGTCAAAAAGAACACTAAGTACAGGGGAAAAAAGAGTCCTATGAGAGATGAAATGTCACAGAAAGAGTATTTCTGAGAAAATTCTGGGGAGAAGAAAAATGGTATCTTATGATAATTAATAATATCCCAGGGATGAAATTGCAGTCCATCAATATGTCCTAATCAGGAAAATCCTTCTTCCCATTGTGACAGATAAATGATGCCATTATTTCAACTTGAGTTTCCTTGAAAGGCCTTGCAAAACCCATTTCTCATGCAGATAGCTTGTGCATTATCCTCACAGCAGCTCTCCATAGAATTGGAAATAAATAGCTGATCATAGACAGAACATTTGGTGTAAAATAGGTTTTTTTATATCAGAGTTATCAGAATACTGAGTGACAACCCATTGCTTTCTTTTCTCATGTCTCAGGAGTATGAGGAGCATGGTAAAATCTCTCATAGTTATAGAGCTGAATCAGAGCTTGATGCTGTTACACACTGAAGAGTGATGGGGGTCCTTTGGGATGTTTCCTGGATTTTGTTGCTTTCCATATTGTACAAACAAAAAATTC